AACATTGTAAAACGTGGTGACATACTCATCCCACTGCTGCATGATGCCTATCACTTACTAATGACAAGAAACTAACTTTCGTATAAGAAATACTATGAATGTATTTACGTCTACTCATCTAACCATATGGACATTTAATTATGACTACTGTTTAAAACACACGCTGTGAATATTAAGGCTGTTGCAGAATAACAACACGTTTCCTGTGTTCATTTGCACTCTGATAAGCGCATCAGTCACAGTGTCAGCAGGGCACCGATCCGCACTGTTTCTGTTGACGATACGCGAAACATTTGTAATGCATCTGCCTTTTATTATTAATCGATCTCAGCTTCTGATTTTTTTAATGTTAGATGTGCCACTTTTATTTTGACTTGCTGACAGCGCAACCTTAACTCAACATTATTTAAAAATAGCTGAAAATATCCAATTAGACTTTAAGAAAAGAAAAGAAGATTCATCGAATGAAATTCTCTTTACAAGGGAAGTCATCTTCAGAGCTTTTAATATCATATTTACATTTGCTAAAAATATAAAGCGCTAAACTGGACTATTTCTCTTGTAAAGTATGCCTTAGTTTTTGAATAAGAGTGACATTTACAGAGATGATTAATATTCTATGTTGTGATTGTGTTTCCTGCTGACACTGTTATCATGAATGCACTTCAACCGACTTTTGTCTGTGTACCAATAAGAACCGCCAAACATCAAAAATGGTGGTTCACACTTTCTCTCGGCAACCACTGCATTTTCACCTTCGAGAAATAAGGATGAATCACCTAATTTTGCCTCCCCCATGTGCATCTGCCGGTTTGACTTCTCTTGCGAAGTTAGTTATAGCGAACGTACATTTGGTCATTTTCCCTATAGGATTTCAAAATACATCCTGCATATATTGCTGGAAAAGGGACAACCAAGCTCTATTCGTAGCTCTGTTTAATTTGACTTTATGAGCATGAAGTTAATTTAATAAAGCGTTTAAAGCTACTTGTCTCCCCCCGACTAATACTAATTTTGTTTTACGAGTTCGTCTCCTACATACGTCGGAATCCACCCAAAGAAGCCAAATCTGCATCTTCAAAAATAATTCATGAAGCTACTTTCTTTACCTTGGCCATAAACGTAAGAAAATAACAATTTCTGCCTCTTGCCTGAGCCGCTAAAAACGTTATTATTGTCCTAACAGTCTCATTATTCTGACTACTTCATCCCTAATTGGTTATTGTTTAATCAAGTGGAACACTGATTTACATCTCATTTGTCCCTCTCATCAATCAGTTTGGACACTCGTTTATTTTTCCACTTGACTAATTTCTGTAATTGTTTCTATCCTTTAATTGTTGCATTGATGTCTTTGGCAACTTACCACCCTCTTGACACGCTGATATTGACCAGTTATTGTTAATAAACTTATCACCATTAGATTCGTAGATTTCTGTATTACAATAAAATCGCCATACATATATACATGTTAGAGTAGAGCGATAGATAAGGATCTGTTTGAAAAGTATATTTTTCTTCGCCCAAAAATTTTGCCTTCTAAATGTCTAAATGAGAATTTTCATCAAATGGTTTTAATAGGCTCCACTGTGAATCACTTTTGCATCCTGTAGGAAATACTTCAGAATCAATTAGAATATTCCAAACAAGGTGGAATCGAAAACTCTCTCCACAAGAATCACTCACCAACACTTCCTAAAGACGGTCAAATATCTGAATCACCTTCATTCAGTGATAAGAGGGTACAATCTTTACATGTAATTTGTGTGGTACCAAAAACAAGTGCGGCTGCTTGGTGCTATAGACGACTGAATGATTTGAGCATTTGGGAACCACTCATGTCAAATGGTAATACATTGTAGCCAGGTAGAAGCGATCCAAACAACAGATAGTCTTTTGGTTCATCATCTGTTGTGTTTGTGGCATGACTCAATCCAGAACGTTGAACTTCTTCATGTTACACTAATTCTGGCTAGCTACTTAGGCAAATTGGCCATAACAAATAGACTATCATGTTTAACCCTCAGATTGTTGAAAACAAGTTGAGATTCTACTACAGTTTTGAAAATAACGCGCTTCATAATCATAGTGAGGACAAAACCGACAACTGTGACAGCGGAAACAGTCAGAATACGCTACATACTTTTAAATTAAAATAAACCGCCTCCAAAAACTGGAAAGAAGAATTGTCATTAAATTCAAAGTTTTGTAACCCAACAAAAAATAATATACTCAAATAATTACACTAATCAAATTCTGATGGTCAACACGTTTCAATTTGTTACACACAGAGAATATAGTACAGATTTAAGTTGCAGAAAATGTCGACAGATTCACGAAACTCTTTCCTGTCAGGTAATTGAGCTAGTAACATAAGAAAAGAAAAGCTCTGGAGTTCTGACTCTAAAAACTGAGGTTTCCGAGTTAACTGATTGCATACATCTTTTGAGTCACCCCTGAATGAAGGAGAATATTGGAATACACAACATAATTAGAAAAAATAAAACCTTTAAAAGTAAATAGTAGGTCATAGTTGGTACCGCATTAAAATCGAACCCAAAATATCCCTAGCCAACAAGGATCCGATAAATTTTCAATTTAGCATTTATTGTCCTTGCCTTACAAAAATACCTATTGTGTGATTTATATACTGGGCCGAATGTAATTGGGAAAATGTTATGAAATGCAAGACGATGGTGATTAGTCGTAATCGGTTCATACAATGTGCGGAAGGAAAACTGACAATTCACATCAACGCGTTTGTTGAGTGGCTATTTCAAAACATGACGTATTAGAAAAGTGATAACTCCATCACAGCGTAAACTTATTTGATGAAATCACACAGGAGTACAATACTGTTTACTTATGATGTTTCGAGCACAACTGTTTGCTCATAATCATATTAAGGCATTCACATAACTTTCGTTTATGTAATTTCACAGTAAGACTCCGGTAAATAGTGCATCATGGAATAATCAGTACGCGAAATTAACGAGATGGAGTCATAGGTGTAAAATCACAAATAATAAATCTATGAATTTATTATGACTAATTGCCATAATAATTTTAATATTTTCAACCCTATTTTAACACCTCTTATTTGTGATTGTGACGCGTAAACACTCTGAACCAAAATGATTCGAGTTTGATTCTTTATGTGATTATCTTTCGTACAAATATGTGTAATAAGTACGTGTGATCAGAATTTTAGAAGTATGTTAGGCAAATACATGGCGCCTTTCCAATAAATTACGTCTCATTATCGTTTTTAATGGATGAAGGTAACTAACTGCCAGCGGTCTCGCTATGTCGTCAATTGACAGAAGTTAGAAATCATGCAACAACCACTGGATCGGGTCCCACTGGCTCAATGGTCTCTGAGCTCGCCTTGTAATCAGAACGTCGTGGGTTCTAACCTCCTGTGGTGGATGTGTCATGCTGAGGAGTCCCAAACTAGTAGGGAGGAAACAGTTGTCCAGAACTCCATGCAGGTTTTCCAATGGTTCCCTAACCAATGTGACCTCATGATGAAATCCTGTAACCAATCAAACAAAATGCTTACAAACCAATACTTGAATAATTGGTCTAAAGTTGAATCTGTTGTGATTACAATAGCTAATTTTTCCCTCAGGGGCACATCAAATGGATACGCAATTGTAATTAAATAACTTTTTGTTTTTTGTTGAAAATATGACTATTGATAGTGTGTGTCAATGCCATCAGCAGTGATAAAGTAATTAAAAATAGTGAAGTTGGAAAACAATTTGTAATCAATCATATTCAATATAGGTGAAACGTGCGTTGATGGTCCAGTGGTAGAATGCTCGCCAGCCAGACGGGTGGCACAGCGGGTAGGACTCTCACCGACCATACATATGGTTTGGGGTTCGACCCCCTGCCGACGCACACCTGATATCTATGGTCGGCCTGCTAAATTTGGGCTGCCGATATCACATGCTGAAAATTCCATACTTGTACCAAAAATACTGTGTGGTTTCAAGCTATAATCAAAAAATATCTGGCTAACAAACTCCCCAAGGTTGTAATCTGTGTGCGGTAATTGACCAGTACAGAATATGATATAATTTAATCCCATAAGTAGAAATGCAACGGAAACATAATGATATTATCGACATACTATGCTGAAATCTTATCGAAACTTATTTAGAATGTGAAAATGGCAGTAATACAGCTGTACTACTTTTTTAGAGGAAATCAACAATCAGTATGTAAATGGGAAGCCTTTTATAAGATTAAAAGTATATCTTTGTAATATAAACGCCTATGAAACATTTTACAATTCACAACCACATCAGTAGTCATATGAATCATAGATTTTATGATTAGTTGTTCACAATTCGTCTAGCTAACAATTAGACCTCATTTCATTCTTCTTGCAATTATGGATTGTGTGAATCACTGTTTGAGTAGAAAAGCACCATCTTCTCCTACATATTTACTTTAACATTAGTATTTCAGCAGAGTAAACCAGAAGTGTTACTATGAAATCATTAAAGAATCCTATAAAAATTAAACTTTTAATGACATTCGTTAACAAATCGTTCGTACTATTTTTTTTGAAATACACTTCATTATCTAATCGCATACATTAGTACATACATGTTTGTCGATTTATTACAAGAACATTCAATCACTTTTTATACAAAACCTTCTTTTAAGAACGTTCACACGTGATTTACTTATAAAATGCTTAGTTATTGACAAAATACAGAACAATTTAGAATTGGACAAAAAACAAACAAATACTAAGCAAATCGTCTTATTGGGAGTATTCAATGTTAGATCGATTAACCATTATCTGGTATTCATAACTTTAAAATTGAGTGTGTGCTTTAACATAATTCAGAAGAACTCAGATCAACATTGTTTACGTTCAACTCTAATGGATTAGATTTTTATAAAATGTATATGAAAGCGTTTATTTAGCACAATGTTATTCATATTAGTGTACTGTACAGTGGAGCAAATTTATGCATAGAAAAAGGGAAATAAACCTATAGACATCTTATGAATAACACACAGTCAACAAGTGGTCATAAACCAAAAACCAAATTACACATTTCTTCAAGTGATACACCACAAACAGTATCAGGTTCTCCAGCAGGAAGAGGATTTTCAAGAGCTTCATCTGCTGATTCTGTTTTCGATGATATATCATCTAAAGCGCACGCTTTATTTTCTATTCTTGATGAAGAAAACAAAGGTTATCTGGATAATCAAGTGTTACTGAAAGTTTGTGATTCCGGTCTGACAGAATCCCAGATAAATGATCTGATTTTACAACTAGATCATGATGGAGATGGGAAAGTTAGTGCAGATGATTTCATGCTTGGATTACGTACATTGGCGAAACGGAATAGTCTAATCCGGGCTTCATTGAGAGCCACCACAGTAACAAATTCTTCGCGTTATTTGATTAAACGCTGTTCGGATTCCTCTGACTCACCTAGAAGTCGTTTGGGATCAGATGAAACTGGTTCAGATGTTGACGACAAATTATACAATAAACATCATGCAAAAATAAGCTGTAACACTATTCAGTCTGTAAGAATCAGAACTAAGAGTAGACAAAGACTTCATCAGAGAATTCTGACATTGTCATGCCAGCAAACAACAACTTCCAAATTAGTTAGTCAATCTTCTGCTTCATTACCCGATATTAGTTCCGTCGATGAAAGCTTAAAATGCTTAAACAGGTACGTTTATCATCTACCTTAAATTTTTGTAAACTCTATAAAGACCCTACTTCAAGTAATGTTGAAGTCCTTCATTACTAGATTAACATATTTCAGATTTTGACACCTAAGATATTTCCCCACTCTTTAACTTTCCCAAATCATCATTTTTCTTTACATTACCTATTTGATTTACCATAAGTTGAGTCGAGAAAATTGTGACCTTCAAGGGAAAACATTCATTAAGAATGTATGTTCTCATCCTCCACAAGATTGAAGAAGATGTAAATAAGTACCTAGATTAGTTGTTTGAATACTTAACTCTCGAGGCTTGAAAACCGTTGAAAATGTCTCAGTTAGTCCAGCAGTTTCAGATGGATATTAATTCAAATAATAAATTAACGTTGTATCCATATCAGGTAATGTCATAATTTTAAAAAACACTAGCACAGTTTATCTGACTTCTTGTGATTAGGACAAGGATAAGAGGGACTGACTGGACGTGTAATAGATGAAATCCTCCAACCAATCAAACAAAATCCCTACAAAACAATACTTGGAAATTGATCTGATACTCACCAGAGATTGGCCCTATTCAGGCGGTTTCCTGGGATTCTAGTCGGAAGAGCTGACCAGTAGGGTACAGCAGGTTGAAGGTGAGGATAGTTACTCATCGAAAAAGACATTGCGAAGTGGTCACGCTATGTCTTGAATTGACAGAAGTTAGAATTCATATACTGGCCATTGGATCGAGTCTCAGTGGCTTAATGGTCTACGAGCTAGCTCGCCCTGTAATCAGAAAGTCACGGGTTCTAAGCTCCCGTGGTGGATGCTGAGGAGTCCCAAACTAGTAGGGAGGAAACAGCTGTCCAGTACTCCCTGCAGGCTTTCCAATGGTTCTGTAACCGATGTCAGCTCATGATGAAATCCTGTAACCAATCAAACAAATCCCTACAAACCTATACCTGAAAATGGTTTTACAAAATTACATCTCCGTAAATTCGGCTAAACACACATCTGAATGATAGTAGTGAAACCGCTCAGGTACTGGTTATTAACATGAATACTGTTTCCTCGAATGTTTTTTTGACTCAGGTTTTCATTTCATGTTTAACCATTATCACACTGTCGCCTTTTATTTGCGATATGTGAGGTTACAAGATGCTTGGTGCATGAACCACAAATCGCATAGAAATCAGTTCATACAGATCAAAAATTAACGCAGAACTACTTTCAAGAACATGCTGCATTCGATGACTACTGAAATCACAAGAGATTTGTGAAACCCAGTTCTGGAATGTTGTAGGTGATTTTATGTGATATTGATTTTTTGATTAATACAGCTGTCTACCTTGAAAGACCGATTACGCGGAAAATAATCGGTCGATCAAACTGGACGTTCTTCAACCCCATAACTTAAATTACGTCAACCTTCAATGAATATTATTTTTATTTCTTTTAGAAATTATTGATGTAATTCTTAGAAATGACATAAGGTGTTCTGCAGTTTTAAATGCTAAAAAACCATGAAAATTTTATATGGATAATCTTTCCTAGTCTTGATGAGTGTTTAACTTCACTCTTGCATCATTTACTGACACATATATGAGAAGAAATATTACTGTTATCACAATTATAACTCATAAATTATTATCGAGTTCAGCTCAGATACATTGTACATTAATACAATGACCAACATTTCACTGTTCTGATCAATTGGTGACACAATAGAATAATTATAGGAAGGTTACAGAATATCCACACTTCAAGAAATGAGATATAACAAAGAAATCAAAATTACAGATCTACAACGGTTAGGAAAATTGAGGTCATTTTATTGGAAATATACCTCGAGTCAGACCTAATTAATTGAAAAAGAAATTGAACAGCGAGCAAAATAGATAAACGTTGGAGAAAAGTGTTGAACTTGAAATGTCTCATATTAAATACATTGAAAATTAGTGTAATCAAATTACTTAAGATTATGAGAAAAGGCAAAATATACTCAGAAATGTCGTTGAAAGGTTACCGCCTAAGCTTAAGAGACAAATAAAGTTATATACGAAGACAAATTTTTTGATTAGTGTTTTTTTCACATTTCATTTCTGTGCTTAACGTGTACCGTATTCCTATAAGGTTCGAAATAGAACACTTTAACTCAAATGAGGTATAAGTGAAACTGACATCAACATTCTTCCGATTATAGTCGGTATACTTCTTTCACCTGTAGAGTCACTAAAAGATTTGGAATCTTACGTTTAAGCATTTGTTTTGTTTTCCCGGTTTACAATTAATATCAAAGGTTTGATAGTGTGGAAAATTCCCATATTATGAATTAAAAGTCAATCTGAACGAAGAATATTCTTTTCAATAATTTCTCTTCAGGTTCTTACAATTATAAAATATAATATCTGTTGTCGTTACAATAAAGGCCAGTTAGGCGGCGGATACAAATTTAACGTATTATAGCCGATTAGTTATGGGGTGTCAAAATAAATAGTCGTATTTGTGTGACAAACATGCTAGGCTGAATTCGATTACAAAATATTGTAAAACGGGAGACAATGGTGATTAATCATAATAGATTTGTAGAGTGTGGGGTAGGAAAATTGACAAGTCAGTTCGAGGTTATAAAAGGTGTCCAATGTTCACCTAGCAACTCAAAGATGTCTTACCTAAGCTTAGCTCTTCTTCATGCATATACCATTTCAACTGTTCCTGTGGTTCAAGTTGTATGGGCCACACGATTAGGCAGGTCCGTCTACGGGTTCAAGAACATTTACCAGCTTGGTTCAGCAAGGGGGAAATTAAGTGCATAAAAAGCTCGATCCTATCACACTTGGTCGATACTGGACATCATATCGATGTCAACACAGCTTTCAGGGTTATATACCGAATTCCGAAGTCATTATCACGTAAAGTTCGCTTACGTCTCCTACACATAGCTGAAGCTGTTGCAATAAGATCGACTAAACCGGAACTTTGTTTCCAAAAAGAACACGTTCAGACGCTGTTCCTACCGTGGCCAAACTTGGATTGCTGATTCTTCTTCTCACCAAGAGTGCTCCTTCCCCTTAACCTCCTTGGCTCTTTTTTCCTTTGCTTATTATTACAATTATTATTATTCGTCATAATTTATGCCCTTCATGCAAACATTCTCTCATTACTATCGAATTTTTCATTTATACTATCCGAACTTACTATTAGTGATATTATCTCTTTTCTCAATATATGCCTCCACCTGTTTCATTTCACATATTCGTTATCTCATTATGAACCTCTCATCGGAGTCTTACTATCTCCTGTTCAACACAGACCACTTTGTACTAGCCACTCACCTGACACCTTTTATAACCTCGAACTGACTTGTCAATTTTCCTACCCCACACTCTACAAATCTATTATGATTAATCACCATTGTCTCCCGTTTTACAATATTTTGTAATCGAATTCAGCCTAGCATGTTTGTCACACAAATACGACTATTTATTTTGACACCCCATAACTAATCGGCTATAATACGTTAAAAATGTATCCACCGCCTAACTGGCCTTTATTGCAACGACAACAAATATTATATTTTATAATTGTAAGAACCTGAAGAGAAATTATTGAAAAGAATATTCTTCGTTCAAATTGACTTTTAATATCAAAGGACTCCTTAATGTCATAATTATGCATCTCTTTAGCGTTGTTGCTGTTATACAGACATAATTTCTGCTTGGTGGATTAGAGGAAATAAAAACACTTCACCTCAACAGACTTTTCTTCTCTTCCATCTTCTTGTTTCGAGTGTTCAGGGTTATCTTGTGATGTCACCGTTGTGGTTTACATTGGCGAGTAGTAATTAGCACAGTCAGTTCAAAAATTAACCAAGTCTACATACGGTCATAACAGTTGTGTTGTATGATCTGAATATATATCACCAGTTAAACAGGAATACATTTAAATCTCGTAATAAATTTCCGCATAATCACGTAGAACTCATAAATTTCAGATGGTTTTATTATTCAAAAATAATTTATTTTTCACTATTCACAGTAGAATAAGCCAGCAGTTATATATATGAATAAACATTTTAATATAATTACAATAATGACATAAAAAATGACAATCAGTGTAATAGAAACGTGCTGATAAATAAATATTTCATTCTAATTTTCATAGTTCAGCATAGTAAATAAATGACTTTCAGTTTGCTTGATGTTTTCAGCTTGATTTATGTTGTATCTGTAAGTAAGAAAAACGTAGCATCTCATTTATCACTATTATTTAGGTAGAATAACACGAAGTGTGAATAAAATATGGAAAAATAAGCCAATATTGATATGTTATAAACGATTCTATTAGACGGTTGGCAGGAAGACTTGGGCCTAGGTTTCGTGCATGTTGGCACTCTTCAGTAGGGCTTATCTGCACCCATCTTGAAGGGACTCATGTCCCTTCTGAGATTCAAACTCTCATCACCCAGTGCTCCAGTCAGAGACGTTACCACTGAAATACTATTCGAGCTCGCGACTGACCTCCTGTAGAACTGTATTGATACTTTGAATGGACACCAATAACTAGTGCGATGTCTTTGGCTAGTCCTTTGTTTGGTGCAGATTTAATTCTGTCAGTCAGGTTTGCACTGGGTAACGCGAGTTTGAATTTCGGAAAGCACATGTATTCTTGCAATTTGCAGATACGCCTTGCTGACAAGTGCCAAAAAGAACGAAACCTAGGTCCAAAGCTTCCTGCCGATTGCCTCCAACCATCCAATATCATATTCAAGCATTGGTTTGTAGGGATTTGGTTGATTGGTTACAGGATTTCATCATCAGCTGGCATTGGTTAGAGAACCATTGGAAAACCTGCATGGAGTTCTGGACAGCTGTTTCGTCCTAGCTTTGGACTCTTCGTCAGTATCGAATCAATAGGCACCGTGATGGCGAGCTACCTAGAATGTTGGCCATATTACAAACCTGACTGATAGGATTCAGCCTGCACCAAAGATAGGTCTACACACATCACACTAGTTA